TTGGAAAATGAATGCTCTTTGGAATGCAAATGGCGACTGTTAGTTGTTACAGTGACCGTTCCCCAAAGGCCAGCGGGCAGTCCATCTTCCTCTGTGATGGATAATTGAGGATGAAGAATAACAAGATCACAGGAAGAATAATGAGCTGACAGTGATCATTAGTATCCACTGTCGATTATTTGTAGTAAACTGTATCGTCATTATAACCTGCAGGAGTAGTGACACATGGCCTGTGCAGGTGGGTAATATTTAATTACAAGTAATCTAAGTTATAATGGGTGCTTTAAACGTTTCTAATGGCGAAGTTTTTCAATCTGTTCAAAGCGGATTTGTTAAGGTTAAAGGTGGGTTAGGTAATTTTGGAGAAACCAGCTAAAGTGCGCTAGAATTTGAAAATACACAATTATTATTGCTGTTATTATTATTATTATTATTGTTGTTGTTGCTATAATGCAGGGGTATTCAATTGCATTTCAAAGAGGTCCAGTAAGAGAAAATGTAATTAAATGCTCTGTTTTCGCTGTCTACCTTCCGCCATTTGAAATTACTCCGACTGTTTCTCTCCTCTTGTCGTGTCTCTGTGTGTGTTTGAATCTATCGTGCTGACTGCACCGATTTGATTGCCTGAGTAGCGTCACCTCCTTAAAACATTAAACAATAACTTTTTTAAACCTTTTTATTTTTATGTTTTAAAGATNGAAATTACCCCCAAACCAAGGACGCGGCCTCGGTGGATTTCCAAGTATGCTGGAGATTGGAACAGTCCTTCGGCGGCACTCAATGACGTAGCATCCTTGAAATATTGGCTTGGAAGCCAGTTTCCTCGAGATTGAGAAACGGCCGGTGTGTATCGCAATGATGCTCGAAATGTCCCTTATAGGCCTCCATCTGTTTCCGGTGACTTTATTTTGAAATTCAGTTCCTGAGGAACGGCAAAAAAGCCAGATATTATAGAATTAAACAAATAAATAAAAACAAGGATAATTGTGTGTTATTGTTGAGTAAATAACAGTGTGTTATTTAGAAAAGACTAATAAATTAGAAGGAACATCTTTTTTTTTTAAATACAGATTTCAGTTTTCTTAGGCTCTGAGCCCCATTTATTTTCCTCGCGGACAGCTAAAAAAGTCCGACATCATACGATTTAAAATAAAAACAATAATCGTGGCTTGATATTGAGTAAGAACATGTTTTTATGAACCACACAGCTTCCTGTCTTCAAAAAGACAAAAATATGTGGTGCAGGCACAAAACACACTACCAATAGAAATACATTGCTTTTAAAATCGTGTTGGTGAACACAAATCAATAGATTAAATGTTGTGACTATAACACGAAATGCCGTGAGACTGGGTTGTACAGTAAGGGCAGTCATGGTACTGTGCCTACTTTTAATCTGGTTTGTGAGTTAATAAATAAACTCGTAAAATCTCCTTATAGATCGATTCCCTCAAAAAGAAGGAGTAAAACCGTCTGATTACATTAGCGCAAGTGAACAGACATAAAGACTAATTCAATATGAATGTGTGACTTTGAGAAGCTTCCAGATCTGTGTAGAGTCCTGAGAAAGTTTAGTGAAACAGTCGACAGATATAAATACACATCAACCGACAGAAAAGCCAGCAATGGGGAGATGATTACCATGTTTCGCCACCAAAACACAGCTGCTAACTATGTTAAAATAATAACAATGTCTAAATCTATGAGTAGCAAAAGGGCTGAGAGGAGGAAGTCCAACCACACACTCGAACACCAGCACTCACACACACGTTACTTCTCAGTCTGCCCACAGTGATTGTTCGCCCACATGCACGGTGTGTGTCCACCCAGGAGCTAACCGCTTGAGGAGCCGGCTACATAGCATGAGAGTGGTTGAATGAGATGCATTTAGAAAGTGCCTAACTTTTACACATGCAGAACTACACATTCATTCACGGAAGTGTATTCACGAACACACGAACACACGAACACATACAGTGTTTTTCTGTGTCAAAATTTCAAACATATCTCCAAAAACCTCATAATTGCCATGTCCGTTTGACGTTTCGGTATTTTAGTGACCAACACAAACAATCAAAAAGGTTTAATTGCTATAACTGGCAACTCAGGAGTGTGTTGTTAGACTTACACAAATATCAGTCACGACTATTTATCTATTTGCTATGAAAAGACTTATACTTTCCCTTACAGCTAAATGTCATGGATTAAGTGTTCAAGGCCTCTATCTAGAGCTATTTACAGAATCACAAGATGACACTTACGACTTTAAGTTAAAAAATATAGGACCAAAGTAGGGTGACTAGGTTTAGTTTGGTCTTAGAGAGAACATTCTGAAGGCTTTGGCCCTGATTTACTGAAGCATTCAACGTATGCAGTGGCTTGCTGAGAAGTGTGGCCCACAGAGGGGAGAGTAGGTCCTCGAACTTGTTGGGGGCCCTCTCAAAGATGCCAGGTTATACTCTGCTGAGTTCAACACATCAAGTTCAAGGGGCCATGTTTCCTTTCTCCAGGGGCTCAGAATTCCTAGCAGTGCACCTGGGCCCCTTTTAAATACTGCACACTCGGCCATGTTTTAGAGAACATTTTGGAAGAGTTATACATTGTTTGATACTGTCTTCATTGTATGTGTTGTAATAGCTTCCATCCACTTTATCATCATTCATTGCAAAGGCATTTTTTGTGAGGCATGATTTCTGTTTCTTAAAAGATGTTTGCAGGCTAAACGTCATGGCACGACAAAGACGCTAGTCCAAGGTTCACAGTTAGATCTCTCTTATACAGAGAGTATCTGTATGAGCTATTACACTGCTTAGATTGTAACTATAAAGTTGAAAAACTACTTCCAAGGAAAAGTTTAACACTTTCTAAAACAGTGGTCCTGTGAGGATTTTATTTCATAGAACTCCCTCTTTGAGAGCTTTAATGTTCCAAAACGTGCATATGAAGTATTTTCAGTAAACGAGTAAGAGAGAGAACAATTGATTAATTTTACTGATGCACTAACGTAAACAAGACAATTTAGAAACCAGCCAACAGGCCTTTAAACAATACAAGCTAATAGGTTACCGTTTAATCCAGACAAATGTGCATTTAATAGTCTGCAATGAGCTAAAAATCAAAGAATTCCCTCATTTAGCATCACCATCTTAAAAAAAGTTAGTAAAAACCATATGCAATAGCAAGACCACCAAACCAAGCAGTTTCAAATAAACAAACAAAGGTAGATGTCTGCCAGCGGCATTTTTCTGAATGATTATTATTATTGCCATTAATGAGATTTGAGGATGGATTACACGGTAAATATGGAGAGTGGTATGTCTTAGGAGATCTCATAACTCTCAGCATGATATCCAATAGCACATTTCCCAAAATGTAAAACTACTCATTTTAAATAAGTATCCTGTAAACCACTGTAGAGCCTTTAGGGCATCCTGGTTTACCGACCCACTGTAATGGACTGCTTGGCTTAGTGGGTGGCTTCACATCTGACCAAACCAGCTGTCTGTCTGACTGATTGAGTCATGATGCACAAACTAAATTCCATGCTGCTTGCCTACTCTTAATGCTTGAGAAAGCCTCTAATTGACTGCCATGATGGCGGAATGACTAATTTCTGACTGACAGGCTGGCCAACTGCCCGGAGCAGTTCACAGGGGTCCTGTGCCAAAGGCCGCCTCTGCAACAAGATCCTGTGAACTTTGACAGCACTGCGATGCTTGACTTCTTTCTCCAGGCGACCTGGCACAAACCCAGTTAGCATATGTTTTCTTGGTTTCTATTTTCTTGATGTGGTATGTAAAGGGTCATGTCTATTTCAGAGCAACATCACTTGCCTCATGTGACGGTTAGACTGGACATACTGTATAAACATTGACCAATATTGGACTTTTCAAGTAATTTGTTCTGTTGACATTTGAATGACCTGTTGTCGGAAGATAGTGTTTTAAGACACCTTTTTGTAACGTCTCCACAAAACTGAATCTTATAGAAATGCTCAAAGACTTCTAAAATGTACACAAAAGATCAGGTAAAAATATCAATAGCTTCCAAAGGAAATTGTTTATTTTTCTATGCCCTCCTTTTTCACAACTTGTCATACCCCATTTACTTGCAAAGTAACAGAGCGTGTCTGCCTTACTGTATGTGGATGTGTGTCTAATGTCCGTGTGTACTCTGTAAGTGTGTGTGGCTCTTCATGAGAGTTGAGAGGTGACTGACAGGGAATGTTTAGCTGGAATACACATCTGTGCCCATCCAGATGAGGGAAACGGAAATGCATCCTGGGAAGTTGAGATCAGCGAAACACAAAGCTGGTCTTTGTCTCTGCAGCTTTTGGCACAGCCCTTAACATCTCTCTTAACTGACATTGAGCTGAAAAGAGGAGTGATAGAAAACACTGCATGAACATGTACACAAAGAGTAATGTTGATAAAAAAATAAAGCAAATAAAAAATGGTTGTCAACTTATATTTTAGGCATTTGGGTACAGCATTAGCAAAAATGTAATCTCAAATTGAATTGACAGGATGTAAACTGGTTCAGGCAAAACCTTTGCCTGAACCAGTGGCATTTCTTTGCACTTAACTTGAAGAGAGCAAAGCCAACTGCTAAATAAGATCTCCTTCCTGGACCTGAAACAAGCAGCTTTCTCTTCCTGTGTTCCCTACAGTTTCTGGAAACACCCACAGCTTTCTAGAAAGAAATTTCTCTCAAAACTTTCACCCGCAGATGAATTTGAGACGTTGTTGAAATGCCCAGATTCCTCAGGCTATCCGGACGCTGTAGGGACTGATATTAAAAAGTGTGGCCACTCAAACCATATGTCTGTAACCATATGTCCGCTAAAGATGAAAACAAGTATTACATAATACAATGTGTAAACTGAGGAGCACAGTCGAGCCTGTGCATTGGGGTTTGCAGACTTTGGAAAGTATAGTTTATTGATTTTATAACAATAAGAAATTACACAAAAAACATTTGAATGTAATCTCTGTATGTTTTAATTTTGATGCGCATTCCTGGCCAGCCAGGATCCATTCATATAAATCTGTAAACAAAGGCTGGGAAATGCAGCACACAATAAAACAATATGTTACATACACAATATTTACAAACACATGAATATACTTATTATAGTTATTGCTTGTCCTTTATAAAAATAAAATAAAAAGCTTGTGTGACAAATATATGTTACGCATGCAGAATCAGTTTCAGCATCTACTGTTTATTGCTGGTATTGCTCTTTGGTAATGTGTTAGAAATATGAATAAACAAAAGATAACAGTAGCAAACATTTAATCAAAATGTGTTCAGTATTATTTACATTATTATTTACAAATATATACAATTGTATTCTACTGGATTTTGTAGGGTGCAACATCAACTTGATACAACGTGATAAAAAAAACAGCAAGATATACGGCAGCCCCAATGTAATTATTATCGATATTTTGGTAAGACATAATATTATGGCAAAAGACATCCAGGATCATCATTCTCACCAAACTTGGAGGAGAAGCATTGAGTACAACTCTCTTACATATTTTGGGTCAGAAGGTGAAAACCTGAATTTACTGTATGACTGGATGTAATTACAGGTTGAAAGATGATAATGAGTGGGCTTGCTGGATGTGAAGCGGCCTTGTCTGATGGTACTCTGTCCATTGGGAGCGGTTCTTCAGATGATTGCAAACACTCTGAAGGCTTTTCCAACTGTCGGGTTCACTAAGCTGGAAAAAAAAGAACAAGGAGTGAACAAAGATGTCAACAGTGAACCCCCCCATCCCCCTTTGCTTTTAAACTACGATTTCTGAATATTTATAAATGAATTTAGTCCGTCCAGAATGCACCAGGAACAGCAACATTTTCAAAGGTCAGCTGATCTACTGATCTATTACATTTTCCTTTGAATAGGCTAAGAAATTGACTGCATCCCTCTGGTTGGCATTTTTCTAACATACCATAATTTTCGGACTATAAGCCGCACCTGAATATAAGCCGCGGCAGCGGCATACCACTCTCGGTTCCACTTTTACTTTTGCGCGCTACCTGTCTCACTCTTTTCCGGCCTCCAGCTTTTCCTGCTGGAACCCGCCGCTTAAAGGTGGGGGTCCGCGGACCGGCCATAGAGCCCATAGAGTTAAAGGTGTTGGCCGTTAGCAGCAAAAATCCATAGATTAGCCGCACCGTTATATAAACCGCAGCGTCGAAAAATAGGGAAAAAGGCGCGGCTTATAGTCCGAAAATTACGGTAGTTTGTCTATGTTGCTTGGTGAAAAACTCGGAAATAGAACCCTCCTTCTCAGTTCTTGGTTTGTATGTTTAACCCCTCTGAAAATGTTGGTGGATAATCTGACTGGAATTACCATTACTGTATTTTGAACATTGTGGGTTTACTGTATATATGTGTACTTTTGTTTTGAACCCTGCAGTACCTCTCTGAGGAGATGCTATTCTGGTAGCTGCCGCTGTACTGCCTCCTTTTCTCCACAGGCATCACGTCGAGGTACCCTCCTGCCTCATTCTTGATAACTCCAGAATGAATGGCTGCCCTGCAGATACTGGATTTCTGAAAGAGAAATAAACAAATTATTGATACTCTGCAGTAATTTAAGACACTATTCATGTTATTAAATACTATATATTTGCTTTACTGACTATTATGTCAACATGAAGTCAATGAAAGACTCCATTTATGACAATGATGCAAGAACTTACATCTGAGAAGTATGTTGTCCCTATGACTCGTGCTCCACTCTCCCGCACACAGTTCCTGGGACAATACAACCTGAAGAAAAAGACAGAGGTTTATTTAGTACCTGAAATAATGTCAGTGCATAGACAGGATTTAATGTATGTTATTGTTTTAAATGCAGAGCCTGATAATTATAGGTTATTGTTGGATTGATCGTTGACGATACTGAAGCGTTAGCAGGTTAGCTAATGGTATATTAGCATACTCTGGCTATAGGCTAGTGGTGATACTTTGATCTGAATCTTACATGTCACATGGGCCAAATAGCTACTATTACCTAGAATAACTGTGACTCATTGGTCAAGTCGATTGTGGTTAAATTGAGTGAGATATTTTCAGTCTCCTTAAGGAATACATCTAAAGCAGAATGTTACCTGGCACAGTGTCGCACAGGTTTCTTGTAAGGGCAGAAAAGTGCAACAGTGGTGTCACATCTTACTGCCTTGACTGAAAGAAAAAAAGGCAATGTACAATGAATGTGTTTCTGTATGCAGATGACATGTTGTTATATATCTTCAATGAGATACAAATAGTGTATGCTCCTTACCAGGAACTGTCTCTATTTTGAAGGAATTTGCACTTCGGTTTTTCCTGCAAATTTAAGAAAAGGGCATGATCCATCATTCCAATTTTACTCAATAGAAAAAGACTAAATAAATAGACTGCTTCATACCCTATTGATTGGATACCATTCTTGTATGACTTGCTGAATTGTTGTTTTCTACCCAGTCTTGTCACATCCAGCCATCCTCCATCATTGTCAATAACACCAGCGTGCAAACCAGCTCCACACACACTGGATTGCTGCCATAAAAGGCAAAGTCAAAATATAACTTTAAATCAACCTACATTTTAGGGCTTTAAGAAAATATCAAAACACTTGACTAACACAATAGTGATACTCAAGTATAAATACACTGAACAAAAATATAAATGCAACACTTTTGTTTTTGCTCCCATTTTTCATGAGATGAACTCAAAGATCTAAAACATTTTCTACATACACAAAATAACCATTTCTCTCAAATATTGTTCACAAATCTGAAAAAATCTGTGATAGTGAGCACTTCTCCTTTGCCGAGATAATCCATCCCACCTCACAGGTGTGGCATATCAAGATGCTGATTAGACAGCATGATTATTGCACAGGTGTGCCTTAGGCTGGCCACAATAAAAGGCCACTCTGAAACGTGCATTTTTGCTTTATTGGGGGGGTCCGTAAACCCTAGGGTTAAACCCTAACCCTAACATGTCACCCATTGCGCATGTTTGGGATGCTCTGGATCGGCGTATACGACAGCGTGTTCCAGTTCCTGCCAATATCCAGCAACTTCGCACAGCCATTGAAGAGGAGTGGACCAACATTCCACAGGCCACAATCAACAACCTGATCAACTCTATGCGAAGGAGATGTGTTGCACTGCGTGAGGCAAATGGTGGTCACACCAGATACTGACTGGTTTTCGGACCCCCCCAGACCCCCCCAATAAAGCAAAACTGCACGTTTCAGAGTGGCCTTTTATTGTGGCCAGCCTGAGGCACACCTGTGCAATAATCATGCTGTCTAATCAGCATCTTGATATGCCACACCTGTGAGGTGGGATGGTTTATCTCGGCAAAGGAGAAGTGCTCACTATCACAGATTTTTTCAGATTTGTGAACAATATTTGAGAGAAATGGTTATTTTGTGTATGTAGAAAATGTTTTAGATCTTTGAGTTCATCTCATGAAAAATGGGAGCAAAAACAACAGTGTTGCGTTTATATTTTTGTTCAGTGTATATGTTTTGTGATACTGTATCTAAAATAACTGCATGGATAAAAATACGTATCGTATCCCCAGATTTTTGCAAATAAACAACCCCAATAAATTGTCCATGGATACATAAATGTAATTGCAGGTTTAAAAAAAGTATTGAAAATGTAAGTTGTCTCTGGTGATCCTTTACCATGTCATAATGTCCACTCCCAATGACTCTTCCAGGGCTGTCGAGGCAGCCAGGTGGACACTCATATCTAAGGAAAGGAACAAGAGTATAGTGAACACATTATAGTTGACTATTTTACTTTACATTATTTATGATCTACTCCCATCTGAGTTGTCCTGATAATTCCCACCTAACTTATCACATGATATTTTCCAGAATTTGCATCAAGTGTCACTATATTCCAAAGCATTTACCTGTTACAGGTTGTTCCCTTGCACCGATCTCTCAGTTTAGTCTCACAGTCGACCTGTTGACCTACAATACAAAATAAAAAATAGCTTTTACAACCTCATTTTAATACCAGTAATGATGTACACTCTCAAAACGGCTTCACAGAGAGAGATGTAGTATTTTCAGAGCATTGCTTACACATCTGCTCTGTGTTGAGAACCTGGTTTCTCTCCAGGTTGTCGTTGGGTGAGGGGTCTGGTGTCTGGGCCCTGGTCTGCGGCTCCCTGTCCCTCACTGGTTCTGTTTCAGGTTCAATGTAGTTGGTCTCCTCAAGCTCAGGAGCTGGACGCCTGTCAACACCCCCATCTAAAAACATGGATACAAGATTGTCACTGTATTGTATTTAATTTGAGCCCATTTTCTCTTGGTTAAACTATTAACTTTAAGGGTAGGTATAAAGGTATGTAAGGAGATAAGATAAGGCAAAAATTAGTAAGACTCTTGATCCTAACTCACCTTTGTAGCAGAGATTGTCCCTGCAGCCTCCAGCATAGCTAGCTGGACATGCAGAACAGGGTGATCCATATTTGTACGGAGCATGACCCCACCAGTTGCCTCTGAAAAAAATAGTTTTTGTCGTAGTTAAAAAAGGGAAACAAATATATATCTGATAATGAGATACAACATTAATGGTTTAAGTTTTGATCTCAGTTATTTTGCGGATGCTGAAACATGCCAAAACGTACGGTGGAGAGTAGTTGCAGACCAGATAGACAGCTTTAGTCCAGATCATTCCCCACACGTTCATGTTGTAACACACATTAATGGCACAACCAATACGATTGCTTGTTGCCCACACCAACTGAAAAATGTAAATACACACAGAAACAAAGTCAAAAGTTCAGTAGTGCTCTCACCTTTGGTGGAGCTTGTAACTGAATTTTCCAAAGGCAGATGTCAAGTGCTCTACTATCTGCAGTAGAGCAGGATTTTACATAATACATCTGGGTCTCACAATCGCATGAGAATACATGGTAAATCGATAGGTTTCAGCTAATCCAATGGAACCAAAAAAGAAAATTACTACAGATTACAGATATACAATGATATTGACATTGAACTAGTATAAGCAGATAAAGGGATCTGCAAGAAATGTCCTCTAATATGACAGGTCGATAAGAGAGGTGTTTGTGACAAAAAAGGCTGACAAAGAGGGTAAAATAGGAGGTCTATTCAGCCAAAACAAACAACTTTTAGCAAATATTTAATTCTAAATAAAAATGTTGTTAATTAAAAAGCCTAAAGTATTCCAAAAGCAACTCTGACTATAGATACATGGAAGTAAAAAAGCCCTTACCTGAGTGTAGTGGGTACAAACAGGTCCTGAACATCTCAATGGGCAGTGTGGGTTACACTCCTGGGAGTAGGGATAGCTGTAGTGCCTCACCTCATCGTACCATGCCTGCACATGATAGGTAGGGGGACGGTCCCTAAAGTCCCAGAAAAAGTGTTACACTGCATCTTTTTATAACGTCAACAAAAAGACATGTGACAAAAACTATATTGAAGAACGAACGTCCATGAACGTATTCTCATCTCATTTGTTGGTAAAGACACACTGCATTGTTTTAGGTTTCCGTTAGCAAGGCAATTCACCTGTAACAAAATGAAAGGCCATCATGGAGCATTACAAGGAAAAAGTCTTCCCTTTTTTAACATTTTCAATGAAGACATTTTAAAACAAATATACACAGGGGTTATTGATGACATTAAAGAAGGTTGCTCTGAATGAGATGGGCCATTTCCAGCCTCCTTGGACCAAGCATTCATACAGTTAGTGAAAATATGTCAGGGTCATTAAAGTTGCATTTATATTTGTTTACCCATTTGGGGGCAACAAAACAGGCTGAAGAAAACTGTTACATATTATTACCCTATGAAGGCAAATGTGTAAGCAAACAATTGTTTAGGTGGCAGACCTGGCACAACATTAGCCTGTATGCGAAGTTGTGTTCCTGACCCCGTTACTAAGGTAAGTCCAATATTCAGTCTCTCTGTAGTTGTTTAATTAAACATGAGACAGGAACAGTGGTATCCTGAGTAAGAGACATTATCATTAAAATACTGCTGTATAAAAAAATCATATAACTGTCAAAATTCTTTCCACTTTGTACATACACACCTGCCCCAATGCGCTCCAAGGTTTTGGCCTATTTGTGTCAACATGTGGCTCGGCCCGTGTTCCCATCGGCAGGTATGTGCCCAGTGCTCTGCGCTCCTCTCTAATTCATGATCCCATATCTGGGGAGAACACACACGAACACACAAAAGGTCCAGGGTTAAGTTGTTACGTGCCTTTGGAAAGATGAACATAATCCTACTCTAAAGGTCCGCTAGGGTATGTAGCTCATATTTTTGTCAGCTGGTACATAAAGCATTAGGTTCAGTAATATTAGTTTTCTTTTGGGCTCCAGGTTAAACTCAATGAGTTTGTTTGAGTTCAGAGCTTCTTTGCCTCCAATTGATGTTTGCAGACCTGGAACTCCTGGATTACCTTCATGATTTAAGTGGGCTAAGTGGCCACTTACCATAGTTGAGGCTGTAATTGCTACTCATTGCATTTTTTAAGATATCGAGTAAACTAAACTACTTTAAATTCCATTGTACTTAATCTGAAAGTAACCTGAGTGAAAGTGAACCTGAAAGATGAACCTGCTCTTTACTTTAGGGTAAAGTGGCTGTATGTATGTCTCTCGAAAATTTAACACAGTATAGTCAAAACTAGGCCCCTCCTATTAGGCACACACATGTACTCTCCTACGCACAGACACATACATGAGAGGGAAGGAACACAGAGAGGTATCACTACCACCACATCAACTTGCAGTGTTGTGCTACTATTCATTGCGGTTGTTTCCAGTAAGTTTTGGTCTCATAAAACAAGCTGAGGCAGAAAAATATGACAAATAAAAGCTACCTAAAACAGAGACTCTCTGTTTTGGGGGCTTGAAGCCATTTTTACTGTAAAAACTTCCCACAAAGCAGGAAAGCAGATTATTCAGTATCTCCAATGTACCGTATTTTAATGGTGACTTTGTTTGTGAGGGAGAAGAAAAGGTGCAGTGTGCTCTGTCGTTGAACTGTTTGGTTGCATTACAGCTATCACACGTCAAAACTAACAGGATAATGCTCAAGTGTGGAGTTGCAACTGCTGTGATTTACCACTATAATGTGTTCCATAGGCTTGGCAAGGCTAGCACACTGTGCACAGTGTTGCTCATTCACTGTGGTGCTGCTTACTGTTCAGGTCTGATTGGAGAAGAGACATTTTGACTCTTTGGCTCTTTACTCCTTTGGCCATGGTCCAGCTGTGGCTGAGATGCCAACACTGTTGTTGTGTGTTTTCTGCTTTGCCCTTCTTACAATATGCTTCCAATATCATTACATAATATTTAAAGTGTTTGGTCAAATTTGGATCATTCCAATTGTTTCCACCTTCGCCAAGGAGGTTACGTTTTCGTCTTGGTTTGTCCCTCTGTAGGATTACGGAAGAAATTGTTTGTTTTTTTAGGAATTTCATTGGAACGTCTAAAATTTGCAGAGAATATCCATTACATTTTGGTTTGGATCCAAATATCTGCGGGGAAACACAAAATTTAATGATGTGTCACTTTCTCCAACATTGCTATAAGGGCATTGGTGCTACAGTATATTCATGTCATCGAATAATAAAACAAATGTATGTATGATAAAAGGAAGACAACGTGTTCTTTAAATGCTCTAAGCCAGCGGTTTTCAAAGTGTGAGGCGCGCCTCCCCTGGGGGGCGCCAGAGAGCTTCAGGGGAGGCGCAGCGTGAGACACAAAAGAACGAGAAAAAGACGAGTAAAGTGACACTTGCCCACTTGTGGCTGTCTGTGGAGACCGAGTTCCCCCACCTCGCCAAAAAGGCTGTAAAAGTGCTCATTCCCTTCACCTCCACCTACCTGTGTGAGTGCAGGTTTTCCGCATTGACTTTGATCAAAAGCAAGTAGGCTACCGGTCAAGGCTGCAGCCAGAGGATGATCTGCGTTTATTCCTCTGTGCATCAAAGACGCAGACTCATTGTTCCCACTAAAGTAGGGGTGAGTGTAATAAGGAGGCAAAGTTGACGTTCAGTGTGTTACCGGGAGCATATAAGGATTTATCCACCATGTTGAAAATGTTAAAAAAAATATGTCTTGAGAACACGGCGTGCGGAAATATACGGGTCGTGCTGCAGCTAGATGTGCCTGTCCTCTGTAAGAAGGTGTCGGCGACTGACATGCAAGGAAGAACGGCTGTCCACAGGCTGTTCCAACTTTAACAACTGTATTAACTTCCAGGGTAGTGAATTGAACATGCAATTGTAATTGGGTGTGTGGTATATTTTCATGCACGGACACGCATGTTCCACAACACACAAACTGAACAACACTCAATTTTCCGATCGCTACCAGCGTCCTTGCGATCTTGTTATAATAACAAGTGCACGTTACTGATGCAATATGGTTGAGACCATTCGGGCTTATTCTAGAGGGGTGCAAGGAATAGTCCAAGTAGTGAGGGAGTTTTATACAATATGTTTAAAACATAAAAATAAAAAGGTTTAAAAAAGTTATTGTTTAATGTTTTAAGGAGGTGACGCTACTCAGCCAATCAAATCGGTGCAGTCAGCACGATAGATTCAAACACACACAGAGACACGACAAGAGGAGAGAAACAGTCGGAGTAATTTCAAATGGCGGAAGGTAGACAGCGAAAACAGAGCATTTAAATTACATTTTCTCTTACTGGACCTCTTTGAAATGCAATTGAATACCCCTGCATTATAGCAACAACAACAATAATAATAATAATAATAATAACAGCAATAATAATTGGGAGGGGGGGAGCGGCTGTTCTTATGTTCTCTGGGGGGAGGCTCACCTACCTACTGTCTCGCGTCTTGTTGAGTCGGATGATGAACACTAAGGAAGTTTCGGGACGGACCCAACCTTGGTGGTAGTGGAGGAGTCCTGGGAGAGTCAGGGTGGTGTTGATCACCCCCCCGGTGGTTGTACTAGCGGGTTGCCGGTTCGACCGTCCATCTCAACGACGTTAACAGACTTTTTGTCGGGAACGTTTGGGAAGAGGAGACCAAAATTACTCATTAGACGTCGTAAGTAACAACCACGTCGTCGGGAGTTTCGATAGGAATTGGGGACACGGAGTAACTCGCCGTACAATCCTCGAATTACACAAAACTAATTTAATACCTATGTAAAATTCTCACTGCTCCACGCAGTGCACAATTTACGATAGTAAGCTGAGATTCACTGACCGCACTTGATCGAGACGTCCTGTAAGCTCAGTAAGGTAAACAACATAGTCTGTAAGGTAGATTCCGTGGAACCACGACGTCCAGCGTTTCAGGTAAAGTGAATCCTGGATGTGAGTGTCTTCACATTACTAGGCCGTCAGTGAGTCATGCGTCTGTAATGTGTCCACGGCAAGAACTTAAGTATATCTAGTCCCGAANCTACCAGGGGTGCAGGATGCACCAACCGGCAGGGACGGGGACCCGGGACCAGTCCCAACAAGTTTCAAAAGAACGCTATTCGCCGTCAGACGAGCGCCCAGGTCCCGGGTCCCCGTCCCTGCCGGTTGGTGCATCCTGCACCCCTGGTAGGGAGACGATGAAGTCTTCGGCATGTCCAGGGGAATTAAATGTCTTACAGTAACTTGACCAGCTCCCTTGACTTTCAGTGTAGCGGGGTAAAGGAGGAAAAATCCCACCCCTTTGGCACGGGCGGTATCCATTGCCCGGGAGAAAGCCTGACTACGTTTAACAGTGTAGCTGCTGTAGTCAGGGGAGAAGCGAATCCTCCGTCCATCAATCGTGAGCGGGGCTTTCTTTGCGTTGAAAATCAAAGTGCGGGTAGCGCCCACCTGCTTCTTCCTGTCGTCGCTGTAGATACGATGAGCTCGCATTAACTCGCCCTTTAGATTACTTAAGGAGGGGAACCACTTTGGAAGCGAGTGTGTCAGACATTGCATGGTGTTAGACCCCTCAAGTCCTTCTGCTAGCCCAGTTATACGGACGTTGCACCTTCTGCTCCGGTCCTCCATGTCCGCTAGCTTGAGTTGCATCATGTCCAGCGTAGCCTCGTGGGTGGCTAGCATACCCACATTTTTCACCACATCTAACCGTGGCCGTTTCTCAATCGCGAGGAAACTGGCTTCCAAGCCAATATTTCAAGGATACTACGTCATCGAGTGCCGCCGAAGGACTGTTCCAATCTCCAGCATACTTGGAAATCCACCGAGGCCACGTCCTTGGTTTGGGGGTAATTTCGAGGCTGCACATGGGTAGACTTTGCGTCCTTCAAATCCCCACAATGCTTTGCGCACGGACCAGAAGCACACATTTAAATGTAAGTATGTAGTGGCGTAGAACATGTGTTGGTAAATATGTTACTTTGTTGCATTTGTTATCACCAAATATGTGTTCCGTGAAAGTAAAGCAAGTTTATAATTAGATAGACATCATGAGGTATTTATTTTCGGTACAGTTTATGTTGAAACCGTTAGAGAGAGTGGCACACTTGTTAGCCTGTTCCATTCTTCTTTCGTTTCCGAAGCCGTGGCTTGGAAGTATACTTGCTTCATTTCTGAAGGAAGTGACTTGGAAGTGTGCGACTACCAAGCCAGTATCCTCGCGATTGAGAAACGGCCCGTCTCTGGGGTTGATTCATCTCATGTTTGCGTGGATCTGAGGCTCTAAAAACACCGCACAGTGAGGATGGGGAATATGTTTATTCAAGAAACACAACATGTGGAACACTTTAAAGCCGCCACACTGTGCGAGCGGGGGGGATTCAACAGCAAGCGGGCGACGTGAGCATGGCTGACATATCAAGTGGTTAAATGTAATTTGTATAGGCTTTAAGAGTTCCTCATCCATTGACTTGTATCTGCATAATCCATATTATACTGTGGCTTTATTGGCTGCTCACTGGGCCCGAGGACATGCTCTGTATTTCTTATGGATGTGGGTACAAGAACACATGCAAGGCAAAACTGTGTTCTTCTAGATTTCACAGTGAGCAGTTGATAAATAATAATATCTGTGTGGATAAGAGAAACTATCGCTGGAGGGAACACAGGGATTTTAGCCTTTGCAGACCATTTACATGCACTAAAACCTATATAACACACTACAAGAGAGGGAGAACCCCAACACAAATCATACTAGGGTCTCTCATAGACTTCTATTCTCACACTGTGGCTTTATTGGCTGCTCATTGAGCACGAGGACATGCTCTGTGTTTCTTATCGCTGTGAAAACACATGAAAAGTGTGTGTCTCCTTGGTGTGTAATGGAAAATCAGTTATTGCCAGTGTG